CCAGGCCAGGCGGAGGGCCCCCTCCTTCTCCACGAGTGCACAAATTTTTGTGCACCAGGCCTCTAGTATTTGTAAAAACAATGAACACATTATGGGAATACAAAGAGAAAACAGAGGGAAAGTGGCAGAAAAAAATTTTGAAGAACTGATGGCCAAAACCTCCAAATTTGATGAAATATATGAATCTAAACAACCAAGAAGCTTATCAAACACCAAGAAGGATAAAACTAAAGAGCTCTACACTAAGATACATTATAGTAGAATTGTCAAAAGAAAAGAAAATCTCCAAAGCAGTGAATTTAGTGACTCATCACATAAGATTAATAGATAATTTCAATAATCTCAATACAGATCATTTCTCATCAGAAACCATGGAGGCCAGAAGGCATTTGGGTAACATTTAAAGTTCTGGGGGGAAAAAAACTGCCAACAAGAATTCTATATCCAGCAAACTATCCTTCAACAATGAAGGAAAAATTAAGACAATCCCAGATAAACAAAAGTTAAGAGAGTATTACTAAGATCTACCTTATAAGAAATACTAAATGAAGCCCTTCAGGCTAAAATGAAAGGAACTCAAAGGTAAATGAGAAAATGAAGAACACTGGTAAAGGTAATTATGAAAGCCATTATTATTGTACTTTTGGTTTGTAACCCCTCCTTACCTCTTTTTTTAGAAGGCAAATGCATAAAATAATAATCATAAATATTTGTTAATAGGTATACAATGTATAAACTATAATCTGTGACAGTAATAATAGAAAGAGGAAGGGATAGAGATATATAGGAGGAACCAAGTGTATAATATTAAAGCTAAATTGTTACAAGTTTAAGATGATCATTGTAATCCCCAAGGTAACCATTAAGGAAAGAAAATAGGAAATCTAAATGGTACATTATAAAAAGCTAATCAAATATTAAAAGAGCAGTAATGAAGAAATTCAAGAACAGACAAGCAGATTAGAAATAGATATGTAGTAGAAGTAAATCCTTTATCAGTAATTGCATTAAATATAAATGGGTTAAATTTTCCTATTAAAAGGCAGAGATTAGTGGATTGGATTTATATTTTTATGTCCCTGTTTTTCCCCCATTCACCCCTCCTCCCCATTTCTGCCCACTCCCCAGGCCTTCACCACACTATTGTCTGTGTTCATAGGTTATGCATATATGCATATGTTCTTTGGTTAATATCTTCCCACCTCTCCCCCGCTTCCCTCTGAGAATCATCAGTTTGTTGCATGCTTCCATGTCTCTGCATCTATTTCATTTGTCAGTTTCTTTTGTTCATTAGATTCCACATATAAGTGAGATCATGTGACTGGCTTAGCATAATATTCTCCAGAACCCTCCATGCTGTCTCAACAGGTAAGAAATTCTTTTTTTTACAGCTGCATAGTATTCCATTGTGTATATGTACCACGGCTTTTTTACCCACTCATCTACTGATGAGCATTTGGGTTGTTTCCAGAGCTTAGCTATTGTAAATGATGCTGCAGTGAACATAGGGATGCATATTTTCTATCTGACTGGTGTTTCAGGCTTCTTCGGACATATTCCTAGAACTAGGATGACAGGGTCAAATGACAGTTCCATTTTTAATTTTTAAAGGTAATTACAAAAACAAAAACAGTGTCCATCTGTCTGCTGTCTACAAGATACTTCCTTTAGATATAAGAATACACAAAAAATTGAAAGTAGGAGGATAGAAAGAGACATCCGATGCAAATAGTAACCAAAACAGAGTTGGGGTGGTTATATTTCTTGAGAAAATAGACTTGAAATAAAAAAGATAATAAGAGATGCTGAAACCGGTTTGGCTCAGTGGATAGAGCGTCGGCCTGCGGACTGAAGGGTCCCAGGTTCGATTCCAGTCGGGGGCATGTGCCTGGGTTGCAGGCACATCCCCAGTGGGAGATGTGCAGGAGGCGGCTGATCGATGTCTCTCTCTCATCGATGTTTCTAACTCTCTGTCTCTCTCCCTTCCTGTCTGTGAAAAATCAATAAAATATAAAAAAAAGATAATAAGAGATAAAGAAGAACAATATAGATAGATGATAGATAGATATCTAAAAGGTTTCAGACAGCAATAAAATATAACAATAATAAACATATATGTACCTAATAATAGAGACCCCAAATATATAAAGCAAAAATTGAGACAATTGAAGGGAGAATTAGACAGATCTTTAATAATAGAGATTTTAATACCCCACTTCAAAAAAGGGTAGAACAATCAGACAGAAGATCAATCTACACTAATAAAAGAGAAACATGCAAATCAGTGTCACTCCACTATGCCCACCAGCCAATCAGAGTGACTATGCAAATTAACCTGACAAAGATGGCGGTTAATTTGCATACACAGGCGCAGAGCAAAGACTGAAGGCTTTGGCCAGACTGAAGAGGTTTGGCTTCTCCACTGCAGCCGCAGAGGAGAGGCCAAGCCTCGCTGAGGCCAGAGGGGAGAAGCCTAGCCTCACTGCAGCTGCAGCGGAGAAGCCAAGCCGCTGAGGCCAAACTAAATGCCTGGGTCCCGGGTGCCGGAGGAAAACCAGTGCTGGCAGCCAGGGGAAGGAAGGCCTATTGCACAGATCTCTTCGTGCAATGGGCCTCTACTTAGAACATAAAAGACTTAACAGTATAAAGCAATTTGATCTAACAGACATATACAGAACATTCCTCTTAACATCACAGAGTACACATTCTTCTCAAGTGCACATGGAACATTCTGCAGGATAGACTATATATCAGGCCACAAAATAAATCTCAATCAATTTTAAAAGATTGAAACCATATAAAATATATTTTCTAATTACAATGAAATGAGAATAGAAATCAATAACTGGAAGAAAACTGGAAAACAGGAAAAGTCACAAATATGTGGAAATTAAGCAACATGCTTTAAAATAATAGGTCAAAGAAAAAAATCATAGGCAAATGAGAAAATACTTTGAGATGAATGAAAACAAAAACACAGCATACCAAAACTTATGGAATGCAGTGAAAGAAGTGTTCAGAGGGAAATTTACAGCTCTAACTCACACAATAATATAATACACAACTTAACTGTATATCTTAAGGGACTAGAAAAAGAGAGCAAACTGAACCCAAAGCTCACAGAAGGAAGGAAGTAATAGAATTAGAGTAAAGATAAATGAAAGAGAAAAGAAACACAATAGGGAAAATCAATAAGACAAGAAAGACTGCTTCTTTGAAAAGATCAACAAAATGATAATTCTTAGGTAGATGGACTAAGAAAAAAGAAAACAGACTCAAATTACTAAAGTCAGAAATGAGAAAAAGAAAAAAGAATGCCATGAACAACTGTAATCAACAAATTGGATAACCTAGATAAAATGGCAATTTCCTAGAAAAATGATCAAAGGACTCTGGTACAATTTAAAAATAGTTTCTTAAAAATTACATACTAGTATATTAATGTGACATGGAATATGTGTTCATATAGTAGAGTGGCTTTACAATAACTCTAGAAAGATAAATACCAAGGTATTAAAAGCAGTTATCAATGGGTGAGTAGAAATCTGTGTGTCTTCATACTTTGTGGCTAATCTCAATTTCTCAAATTTTTTATAAAAGGCATATACTGCTTTTATAGTAAGAAAATATAAGAAACTTTATTGGGGGGGGCAGAAAATTGATGTTTGGCCTAGGGAAAATTACATTTATGGTCACAAACTGACTTCCTTTTACTTATACCTAAATTGCTTTTGTAAAACAAGTATGAGAACATTGCTACACACCGTTGGGCCAGCTCCTCTGGCAATCGCTTTGGAACCAAGGCTTTGTTCAGCTGAATCTCCAACACGATGTATGTCCCTGCTTCTACATATTGCTGTAAAGACATTTTTTTCTAATTTATTCTTTTCAGTAAAAAAAATATTTATGAAAAAAATCGTAACATAAGGTAATATTCACAATATAATAAGTGAGAAAAGTGCATCGACAGCTATAAATATAGTGTAATCTTAACTTAAAATATGTTTTACACAGAAAAATAACCAGACAGAAAAATAACAACAGTGGCTATCTCTTGCAGGGAAGGAACCACTTTCTCTTTTATTCTTGGAAACGTCTACCCCAGCTGAAGCCCTGTTCAACTTGTTCAATACCTTTCTTGGAACTATTTTAGGTGAGTGCCATTCTTTCTTCCACCAAAACTCTTTCATGAGTTCTGCAGATATATTCTCCTCATAACCTCCCGACATTCCCACTCACAGCCTGCTCACCACCATCTACCAACTGCAACCTGATGGACATTTCTACCCAGATTTTTGCTAGCATCTTAAATGCAACGTGTCCAAAATCCAACTTATCATTTCCCCTATATCAACCTCTCTTTTAAAGTTTCTCTTAATGATTGTGTCACCCTTCCAGAAAGAAAGGCTTGAAACCTGAGTTACCTTTAACTTTTCTTCATCACCTCAAAGCTTCCCGGTTCCACCGTGCCTCTGCAGGTTTCTGACTTTCTCTATGATCTCTTCCTTAACTCAAACTGTCATCAATACTCATCTGTACTCTCAGGAAAACCTATAAACTGACATCTGAAGTCCCTACTCTAAGTTCTGTTTCTCTTTTTCACATCCTTGCAAGAGTTTTGCCTTGAAACACACATAAGGGCTTATTTCCACATAAGTTTAAAAACCTTTAATGTGAGTCCCTAAAATGAGGCTCAAGACCCTTATTACTTACTAGAGGCCCAGTGCACGGATTCATGCACATTGAAAGTAAATTAATTAGAAGGTGGCCGGTGGGGCAGGACTGGGCGAGACGGGCCGGACATGCCCTGGAGCCAACCTCCTGTGGTACCGCCCTGGCCGGCTGCACCTGGGGTGGTGCCAGGGCTCAAAGGGCATCTGTGGAGTGAGCAGGGTCCCTCTGGCAGGTGGGGTCCCTTGGCCCGGCCTGCAGGGATCGGACCAAAACTGACAGTCTAACATCCTCTGAGCGGTCATCACTCTACAAAGTTGCTGTCGCTCTGTTGCTCGGCAGCTCCTGCGTTGAGCATCTGCCCCCTGGTGGTCAGTGTGCATCATAGCTACCAGCCGGTCAGTTGGCCGCTTAGGCTTTTTTATATATACTAGAGGCCTGGTGCATGACATTCGTGCACTCGGTGTGTGTGTGTTGGCGGGGGGGGGGAAGGGTCCCTCAGCTCAGCCTGCACCCTCTCACAGTCCAGGAGCCCTTGGGGGATGTCCAACTGTTGGCTTAGGTTCACTCACCTTAAGCGGGACTAAGCCTGAATTGCACATCCTTAGCACTGCCACAGAGGCAGGGGAGGCTCCCGCCATCACCACTGCACTTGCCAGCTGTGAGCCTGGTCTCTGGATGAGTGGCATCCCCCTGTGGGAGCCCACTGACCACCAGGGGGCAGCTCCTGCATTGAGCATCTGCCCCCTGGTGGTCAGTGCGTGTCATAGCAACCAGTCATTCCACTGTTCAGTTGATTTGCATATTATCCTTTTATTATAAAGGATAGGTAGAATTAAGTCCAAACTTTTTAGCAAGCCTTTCAAAGCCTTTCTACAACCCAGATCACTCTCTCTCTCTCATTTCTCACCTCCTAGAACCTCTTCTTTTTTTCATTTCTCTATACCAGCAGTCGCCAACCTTATGAACCTCATGGAACACCAGTGGTTCACAGACCATTGGTTAGCGACCACTGCTCCCAAGGTTTCCTTAAACCAGCGGTTGCCAACCTTTCAGACCTCAGGAACCACCAGTGGTCTGCGGACCACTGGTTGGCGACTGCTGCTCTATACCATTCATTGAATTAATTGATGTACCCCAAATTCTGCTATCTTCTTTGTGCCTTGACTCTAGCTGTTCCCTGACCCTGAAATGCCTCTTCTTCCATCTTCATCTGGCAAAGGCTTCTCTTCTTCTTTCACTACTTAGCTTGGATGCCACCTCTTCCATGAAGATTTCTGAGATTGCCCCATTCTAGTAGCTACTAATCTGTTTTGTTGGAGCCCACACAGCACTTGTATGCATTCCTCTACTACAGCATTCATCAAAATTCTGTATTGCCATTGGTTATGTACCAATTGTATTTCGCCCACCAGACTGTTGAGTGTCCTGAGAGCAGACGAATAAATGCTGCAGATGAGGCATCCTTGCATCCCTCAGAGTGCTCAAAATAGTAGCATTAATAAAAGACATAAATTTTTAATGCTGGAACAGTCCTTAAAGTTAATCTGGTACCTATTTGTTTCAGTAAGTCTCAGCAAGACAAAGAAATTTACCCAACATCAGAAACCAGTCATGGTAAATAAGGATGGTAATTCAATGAGCATTTTCCTGAGCATTTCCCACTACAACATACTACCTTACTCAGTAAAGGACTGATGAATGTAAACTTAATTTTCCAACTCTTTATGCATAGTTACCTGTCCTTCTGGATTGTAGTTTGGAGTGGCTTCCAGAATTTCCACAGCTGTATCTGAGCTCTGAGATTTTACACCAGATGCTGGCTGAAAGAAATGAACATACCTTAAAAATGAAATTCTTATATGGTCTTTACAATGGCAGGAACACTAATCATTATGTTGCATCAAAATGCAAATCAAATTGAGGCAATTCACCAAATGAGAAATAAGTGTAAGCCTCTGGAATGTAACAAAATCAGCAAAATCATCACCTTCTCAACAACCTACCATATCCCCAGATCTAGGCCTTCCTTTTATATCTTTTTCTTACTATTTTATCTTCTTTCAGGTTCTTAGAAACAACTGGTTTGGACAATGGAGAATTAATTCCTCCTACTTTGTTATTATGAAGCAAATTATGCCCAGTATCCCGGAACAAGCTAAATGAACATTTGGTCTGAAAAACAAACAAACAAAAATTTCAATGAATCATAGGCAAATAAAAGAAATCCACATTATTCTTTAACATCACTTAGTTTCCTAGATAATTTCAACATTGTAGAAACAAAGAGAGATGGGGGAATTAAAAAACTCTATTGCACCCATACTTGTTGAGCAAGTGAAACCATCACAGAAGCTAGCTGTCTATTTAAATTCTTAAGAGAAGACTTTTCAACTCGGCTTGATTTTGTATCTCATTAACTTGTTACCAGACAGCTTTTCATCTTTGGCACATAATTTCAAATTAACTTTAAATGGTTGAATTTATTTCTGTACAAGAAACATTATTTAATTACTGGTTTATCAATTATGATTAGAAGAAGAGGGGCAAGTTTACAGTTCAAAATAATAACTTTGCATGGGAAAATTCAACTACAATGCCTGGAAAAGAGTCTTACAGAAATTTTAAAATTAAACAATATGGATGAATGTAAATATAATTTATACTGAGTGAAAGAAGCCAGACTCCCCCCGTCCCCACCCTCCCCCGCAAAAAAACCCAGAGGGATTGAACAGAAGTAGGAGAGAAGGATAACAGGAAAGGTCACGAGAAAACTTTGGCCAGTAATGGGTATTCTTACTATCGTGATTGTGGTGATAGTGCCACAGATGGATACCTATGTCAAAAGCTTTAAATTGTGCCCCTTAGGTATATGTCAGTTGTACCTCAATAATGCTGCTAAGAACATGGTCCCACAATTTTAAAGAAAAAATTATAAATACTAATCATCACTCAAAGTCCTAAATTACTGTGTTTCATAGAGTCTAAAATGCAAACTTTTTCAAATTTTAACATCTCTAGGAAATGAGAACATTTCATGTAAGTGATATTGTACAATATGTAGTCATTTGTGTCTTTCTTCTTTGCATAAAAATTTTGAGGTTCATCCATGTTATAGAATGTATCAGTAGCCCATTCCTTTTTTTAACAAAACAGCTTTATTGAGATATAATTCACATTTCATATAATTCACCAAAAATACAATGATTTTGGCATATTATATTATTTGTAATCCATTCTTTTTCATTACGGAATAATATTCCTTTGTATAGATATACCACATTTTGTTTATCAACTCATCAGTTGTGGACATTGGATGGTTATGAGTTTTAGGCTACTGTGAATAATGCTGTTCACAGTAGCCTAAAACATTCACATACATGTGTTTGTATAAATTCAGGTTTTCAATTTTCTTGAGTAGATTCCTAGGAATGATTTGCTGTGTTGCATGGTAAGCTTATATTTAGTATAGATTTTTTAATAATATAGTTGTTCTATTAAATATTGAGAGTACAATATTGAAATTTCTAAATGTTACTATCGAATTGTCTATTTCTCCTTTCAATTCTGTTGGGGTTTGCTTCATGTATTATGAGGTTCTCTTGTTAGTGGTGTATACATTTATAATCTATGTATACACTTATTTTATGTAATAATTTATAATTTATAAATTCTATCTTTCTGATTAATTGACCTTTACTCATTATGGCATGCCACTCCTATGTCTTTAGTAATGTTTCTTGTCTTGAAGTCTATTTTATATGACACAAATATTGCCACTTAGCTCTGTTACATTTTCTACTTGCATAGTATGTCTTTTCCATTCTTTTACTTCAACTTATGTATGTCTAAATCTAAGGCATGTTTGTTTTAGACTGCTTATCATTGAATCTTGATATTTTAAAATCCAAGTCTCATAATCTCTGTCCTTTCATTGGGGTGGTTAGACTACTCACATATAATATTATTGTTGAAATATTTGGCCTAAAGTTTTTGAGATTCAATGGCAGAATGAGAGCAAGGCTCTATATTTAAAATCCCAGTATATCAATTGGTTCCAAACATCCATTGCAAAGATATATAATCTTTAGCATGTATATGTAAAGTAAGCAAATATAAAAGATAAACTGGTACAGATAATATCTTCTATACAATTTTTCTGACCTTTTCATAGACCATGCTGTCTAGATAAGGGTAAACACGAAAAGCTCCCCGAATCCTCTTCACACCTGGATACAGCAATGGGACCATATTAACATAAGCCACACCATGAAATGAAAGCGCATTTTCATCATCCATCTAAAGGAATAAAACCAGAGACCTATTAGTACCATAGAGCAATGTAGTATATAAGGTATGGAGCTCTGACTCAGCAATTCAAAGACCTGGCTTTAGAAACTAGCTATGCTACCTAAGTAGTTGACTTTGGGGCAATAGCATAGACATTTTGGGTCTTCACTTCTTCTTCTTCTTTTTTTCAAATTATAAGGGAAAGTTTATTTAGAAAGTTACAGAGATAGTAGAAGGGCCCTAGGAGCCTATGAGAAAAGGAAGAGAGATATGCACCTTGAGGGATGAAAGAGGGAAGATTGGCCCTGGGATGTGCTACAGAAAAAAGAGGAAAGGGGAAAGGAAGAGGTGGGGAAAGGTGCAGGCATGCTCCATAGAGAGAGCTGTGGGGTCTTCATTTCTTTATTTTCAAAATGGGTTTAATAATACCATGATCACTGAAATAATGCATATAAACAGTGTTAATGAATAATAAAGGCAGTTGAATAAATACACTCAAATTCATTAATATATATATACAACAAAAAAATCAATTTTATCATGTAAAACTGTAAAAAACAACAACAACAACAAAATTTGAAAAGAAATCAGAAGCTGTGGCTTTTAGTTCTAGTTCATAGACTCATATGAATGAAAGTGTCTTACAAATTATCTGGACCAGTGTTGACAAATAGGCTTTAGCTAATGCCTACATTCTAATCAATTAGAGTACTGTGCTGAGAAAGATTCTGTATCTTTATCTGGATTCAGAAGGAAAAAAATTCTTTGATCAGTACTATCTGCCATGGATGAAGGAGGATGAATGCCATCATGTATTTGCCATCCCTAATTTTATCTAAACTCTCATTACAAAGATGAAGAATATGTCAAAAAAAAAATAGATCTTAACATCATTTTAATGGCTATTTGGTTTGCCATAAAAAACTTTTATAAGAAAAAAAAACGGAAAGAAAACCAATTTAATTCCCACAAGATTAAAAGTAATCTCTTTGATTTTACCTATTAAAATAATTAGAAATTAGGTTAAAGTCCTATGATCATATAATAATATTATGTTCTTTAGAAAGCTAAGGAACCTTGTTTTATATATTACAAAGGGAAAAGTAGCAGTATTTTTATTCTTCCAAAAAGTCCATTTTAAAATCAATAAAAATCATTTAGGTACTTGTTAAGTGTATGGTATATGCCATGAATCATGCTAGGTACTGTGGAGGATACAAAGCAGTCTACAAGAGGATCAGACACAAAAGACCAGACATACACAAGTAAAACAATAGAGATCATGTTCTAGGCCTGTGGTCAGCAAACTGCGGCTCGCAAGCCACATGCAGCTCTTTGGCCCTTTGAGTGTGGCTCTTCCTAAGCCAGGGGTGGGCAACCCCTGGCACGTGTGCCAAACATGGCACGCCAGTAACTTTTGCTGGCACACGAAACCCTCTCTTATAATCTTCCATTTACAATTTTTGTGAACATTTGAATGACTTAAAAATTAAATTACAAGGAACTGGCGAGACACTTGATGTTATGTTTGGTTACATAAAGGTTTTTGAAAAGAAACTGGAAGTCATTAAGAGGGATGTGGATGGTGAGAGATTTAGATATTTCCCAAACCGCAAGAGGCACATCAAAGACCTCCCAAAAGGGGAGAAAA